CACAAACGTCACAGTGTAGATAGGGTAGAGGTAAACAATTAATTCAACTGAATAATAAGATGTAATGTTCTCAGTAGGACTCGTCTTTTGTGCTACATCAAAAACTCTTTCGTAATTCTAGGGCTCGTCAGTGATGCTACATCATACAGCTGTTTAATCCTTGTAGGACTCGTCAGTGATGTTACATCATACACCTGTTTAATCCTTGTAAGACTCGTCAGTGATGCTACATCATACAGCTGTTTCGTCCTCCAAGGACTCGTCAGTGATGCTACATCATACAGCTGTTTCGTCCTCCAAGGACTCGTCAGTGATGTTACATCATACAGCTGTTTCGTCCTTCTAGGACTCGTCAGTGATGTTACATCATACAGCTGTTTCGTCCTCCAAGGACTCGTCAGTGATGTTACATCATACAGCTGTTTCGTCCTTTTAGGACTCGTAAGTGATGCCAAGGGCCTAAATATTGAAATGTATTTGGTTGCCGAGGAAAAATCCAAAGCGATCGACAGAAAAGTCCAAATCTAGACGGGGAGGTGCAGCAGCACCATAATTAAATTAATTTCGTAATTTTATTGTATCAGACAATTCCAGAACAGCGTCAAATACATGTGTATATTCTGTACCACTTTATACACTGTTACTATTACCATAATACTAGCCGTGCATCTCTCTCTGATCACGGACTTATGCACGACCTGATCTATCTCACGATATCCTAACATACACTTGCACGTTTTTATACAGTCGTAAATCTTCACAATTCTTAATATGACTGAAGATACATTTTATTGCAGGGTTTGTACTGTATCGTTTATAATAAGCCCTGCCTATCGTCAGATTCAGCCTAATTAAAAACCTATATCTAAATCCCAAGCTCATTTTCTGCTGAAGTCGCGCGCTCCTAACCGCTGTTTACAGCAAATTTATAGCCAATATTTTCTGATTTCCCCCGGCGAGTCAATCTTTTGTTCGTCATGAAAATCTTTGTGTGTGATGTCGTACCATCATTGAAGACGAATTCGAGCCTCGTTTTACCTGCGTCTCCATCATTTAACAATAAATCGCAAAAGACAACGGGACTATCAGTCACTTGATACCGGCAAACACCTCTCCTGTTTCCGGAGATACAAAATGTTACACGGCGCGCGACGGAACTTCTCGATCAAGCGAGAGTTTGTCTCTAATTAGCAGCTTGTAAGAGAACATGCCGACAGCTGCGCTTATTTCGTATAAAGAAGATTTAAATGAATTGTCAGCTTGCTAATTTTGGAATTGTTTAAAATAAAATTAATATTTTGATTATGTTTATATCTTAACAATGTTAAGTTCTGTTATGTAAACATATGTTTTAGTATTTCAAATAGCTTTGAAAATCATTTCCATTAAATACTTAGAAACGATATTTTATTTATTTAGATTTGATGCTGTAGCGAATAAACCCGTTCCAATTAGCAGCAATTTAATGTCGATGTATCAGAGGACATTTGAGTAAGAGATCTAGCGTAGAATTGAGGAAACTGAAAAACCACAGCAGACGCCAGTCACAAATTGGTGTAAAATTGCGGTTGAATTTCAAGAGAAAAACATTTAATTCTGTATGTTTAAAGTTGGACGGAATTATCATCAGAACATTTCCTCGGAATTGGATATCCAACTTTTGTTTCTTGTTTTCTCTTGTACTAATATGTAGATTATACAGTTGTACGATAAATCAATGAGCTCGACTCAATCAGCAGTGACTACATATACCCAGGTAGAATTAATGTCGTTATATACACAGGTAGGATTACTGTCGTTATATACAGAGGTAGGATTACTGTCGTTATATACATAGGTAGGATCACTGTCGTTATAACACAGGTAGGATTACTGTCGTTATATACACAGGATTACTGTCGTTATATACAGAGGTAGGATAACTGTCGTTATATACAGAGGTAGGATTACTGTCGTTATATACATAGGTAGGATCACTGTCGTTATAACACAGGTAGGATTACTGTCGTTATATACACAGGTAGGATTACTATCGTTATATACACAGGTAGAGTTACTGTCGTTATATACCCAGGTAGGATTACTGTCGTTATATACACAGGATTACTGTCGTTATATACAGAGGTAGGATAACTGTCGTTATATACAGAGGTAGGATTACTGTCGTTATATACATTATATACATAGAATTACTGTCGTTATATACACAGGTAGGATTACTATCGTTATATACACAGGTAGATTTACTGTCGTTATATACCCAGGTAGGATTACTGTCGTTATATACACAGGTAGAATTATTGTCGTTATATACACAGGTAGGATTACTGTCGTTATAACACAGGTAGGATTACTGTCGTCATATACACAGTTAGGATAACTGTCGTTATATACACATGTAGGATTACTGTCGTTATATACACAGGTAGGATTACTGTCGTTATATACCCAGGATTACTGTCGTTATATACACAGGTAGGATAACTGTCGTTATATACACAGGTAGGATTACTGTCGTTATATACAGAGGTAGAATTACTGTCGTTATACACAGGTAAAATTACTGTCGTTATATACACTGGTAGGATTAATGTCGTTATATACCCAGGTAGAATTACTGTTGTTATATACACAGGTAGGATTACTGTCGTTTGAACACAGGTAGAATTACTGTCGTTATACCCAGGTAGAATTACTGTCGTTATATACACAGGAAGGATTAATGTCCTTATATACACAGGTAGAATTACTGTCGTTATATACCCAGGTAGGATTACTGTCGTTATATACACAGGTAGAATTACTGTCGTTATATACACAGGTAGGATTACTGTCGTTATAACACAGGTAGGATTACCGTCGTTATATACCCAGGTAGGATTACTGTCGTTATATACACAGGTAGGATTACTGTCGTTATATACACAGGTAGGATTACTGTCGTTATATACACAGGTAGAATTACGGTCGTTATATACACAGTTAGGAATACTGTCGTTATATACACAGGTAGAATTACTGTCGTTATATACACAGGTAGGATTACTGTCGTTATAACACAGGTAGGATTACTGTCGTCATATACATAGGTAGGATTACTGTCGGTATATACCCAGGTAGGATTACTGTCGTTATATACAGGTAGAATTACTGTCGTTATATACACAGGTAGGAATACTGTCGTTATATACACAGGTAGGATTACTGTCGTTATATACCCAGGTAGGAATACTGTCGTTATATACACAGGTAGGATTACTGTCGTTATATACACATGTAGGATTACTGTCGTTATATACACAGGTAGGATTACTGTCGTTATATACACAGGTAGAATTACTGTCGTTATATACACAGGTAGGATTACTGTCGTTATAACACAGGTAGGATTACTGTCGTTATATACACAGGTAGGATTACTGTCGTTATATACACAGGTAGGATTACTGTCGTTATATACACAGGTAGGAATACTGTCGTTATATACACAAGTAGGATTACTGTCGTTATATACCCAGGTAGGATTACTGTCGTTATATACACAGGTAGAATTATTGTCGTTATATACACAGGTAGAATTACTGTTGTTATATACACAGGTAGGATTACTGTCGTTTGAACACAGGTAGAATTACTGTCGTTACACCCAGGTAGAATTACTGTCGTTATATACACAGGAAGGATTAATGTCCTTATATACACAGGTAGAATTACAGTCGTTATATACACAGGTAGAATTACTGTCGTTATATACACAGGTAGGATTACTGTCGTTTGAACACAGGTAGGATTACTGTCGTTATATACACAGGAAGGATTAATGTCCTTATATACACAGGTAGAATTACAGTCGTTATATACACAGGTAGAATTACTGTCGTTATATACACAGGTAGGATTACTGTTGTTTGAACACAGGTAGGATTACTGTCGTTATATACACATGTAGGATTACTGTCGTTATATACACAGGTAGGATTACTGTCGTTATATACACAGGTAGGATTACTGTCGTTTGAATACATGTAGGATTATTGTCGTTATATACACAGGTAGGATTACTGTCGTTATATACACAGGTAGGATTACTGTCGTTATATACACAGGTAGGATTATTGTCGTTTGAACACGGGTAGGATTACTGTCGTTACATACACAGGTAGAATTACTGTCGTTATATACACAGGTAGGATTACTGTCGTTATATACAGGTAGGATTACTGTCGTTATATACACAGGTAGGATTACTGTCGTTATATACACAGGTAGGATTACTGTCGTTATATACAGGTAGGATTACTGTCGTTATATATACAGGTAGGATTACTGTCGTTATATATACAGGTAGGATTACTGTCGTTATATACACAGGTAGGATTACTGTCGTCATATTTCCGAAATAGCTGTATGAGGCAATGAAAAGGTTTTTCATCGAAACATCAATAAAAGTGTAACCTTAGAGGGGCATTCGTTCTTTAAAGCTATTTTAGTTTAGAAAAATCAAACTAGATTCCGCGAATTCTTTATTTCGCGAATGTACATCTTCAGACATTTCGCGAATACATGATTTGCGAACTGTGATCTAGAAATGACTATTAATTCGCCAATGATGTGTTATTAGACATATGGATTCCGATATCAGCATGGTTATGATCAAGAATTATTTCTGTAAAAAAAATTGCGAGGGACTTGAATTCGCGATTAAATGTCTTCGCGTATTAACGCGGAAATAAATCCCTCGCAAAATATAACTGATTTACAGTATACATTTGTCTGGAATAATAAAAGATAATGAGAAATGTTTCAGTAAATGATACCACAAAAATAACAAGAATAACAAAACCTTTAATTATTTTTTATATTCGGCCCGAAGTATGGAGATTACCAGTGCACATAGTTTCCGAGTCCATTTCATCACTGTAGGGTACCTCGTCGTTTATATATAAAGTATGGTATCATTTGTCTAAAGGTCTCGGTAAGAATGCACAAAAGTCACCCAGGTGATTAACATCATTTAATACAAACTTAGGTAAGATACAGTAGAATCAAACAAGCTAGCCGCATCATACAACAGTTTCATTCTTCTAGGACTCGTCACTGATACAAATTACCTGAATTCTAAACCTTAGAGGCGAAATCAAAATCTAGACAGGGAGGTACGCTAGCCCGTAATTCAGTACATTTCATATATCTGATAATTCTAGCAGACTGTCAAGCATATGTGTGTAGTCTGAACTGTGTTACTTTTCGAAATGAATTAAAACGTGACATGCACGTTACAGCAAACCTCGGGATAATATAAAAAACAAAATCGAGTCCGTGCTATACGAGTTATCTCCCTTCTATTGTGAACGACATTAACGATTTGACGTGATCACGATGTGTGGGTTTGAGATGAGGTAATAACACAAGGCAACAAACACAGGTCAAAATTTTTATTTCAATTCAGGAGAAAGTTACAACATCTTCTAGTTAATTCATCAGAGCTTAAGCAGTTTATACAAAAATCTGGATTTCATAAAAAGGCGAATAATTAACGTATTTGATAAAAAAGAATGGAAACATTAATAAAATTCTGGTGTATTAGAAAAATCGTTAATATATGTTTTGATATAAATTATATATTTAATCATACGATATAGAAACATCTCTGTGGTGTAAAACTTTATGAAATATATTTACAAATGCAATCATACCAAATGATGAAAATGCAATCGAACCTCGTTATCTCGAACTCGGCGGGACCATAAATTAAACGGGGTCTTCGAGAAGTATTCGAGATAATGACGTGCGACGGTATTACAAATTTCATGTATAAAAATGCTTGTATTTGTCAATGATAGAAAGACTTTTCGTTGACCCTGCATCTAACGTTTGTCGCTGGTTTTTAATGTTGGTATTTTGTTCATTTCCTGATGTGTGGCATTAAAAATCATACTCCTCTGATAAAAATTATCATAGTGAAACTTTTATATAATTCAGATTTCAAATTTTGAAGGAATGTATTGAAACTGGTTTTTTTTCTTTGTAGAGAATATCAAACATACATCCATTTTCTCTTTAAGGTGAAGAAACCCGCACAGAAATGCTCAGAAAATCAGCAGAGAACATAATTATGATAATAAATTCTTGGTAGTTTCTCTCTGGTGTTTTTGTAAACGCTTGTTAAGTAAAAATATGTTTTAAAATATAACAAGACTTTCTAAGTGAACCTAACAGAATTTACTCCGTGTTAGAGCCGATACTAAGAAACACTTTCATTTTTGTGCAAAGATCACAGTAAATACTCACTATAATGTGTTTGAATGAGGCTGATTTTACAATATATTTACTGACAATGAAAAGACAGTAAAAATCGAGGCCCAGTCTGAAGTAAGATAATCATATCTCGTTATTTCCAGTCTTAAAACTTAATCCAGTTACGCCGTTTTCATAATAACAGTAATTCCGTTCATAACAAGGAAACAATTTGTCTACGGTATACAGTGTAATCGAGGATAAAGCCTAATAATCACTCTAAAAACATAACTAACACTTCCTCATATCAATCATAACATCAAAATATATATAATCCATTTTATTTACATGTCTCGTGTCATTTGATGTGGAAAATATAGATAAGAATTTGAAATAAGGCAGACAAAAAACCAACACATAAAGGGTGATAGTTAAAATTTCCAACAGAATAAGGCTGTTCGTCAAAGCTATAGATTAAGGATGTTAACCAAATTAACTCCCAGAACATTGAATCAATTTAACCTGTAGAAAGAGTTAGACTGAGAGAAAGTACAATGAGACGAGAGAAGACGGAGCAGTTAAAAAGGCACATGTTTAATTACACCACCCAGAGTGAACACTAACAGCGAGAGAATTTGGACAGTGGTGACGAAACATCTCTACACCATGGTAGGTACTATTGGAAAGTTTTCACGGTCTTTTATGAACAAAATGCAAAGTAAATTTCCAAAACATTAAGGGAATATACATTCCTAATTACTTTTTGGAGCGCGTGCTAATGTTCTGTCATCAATACCCTACATATATAGATCGACAAGATTATAGTAAATAACAAGCAGTCATGGAAATATGATGAATAAAATTTGGTTTTGAATTTTTTAGAATTTTAAATGAGAATAAGAACATATTTATGATATTCAAAACTGAATCTTTTCCTCTTCCACACCACAAGGTAGGATACAGTATACATTTAATTTGTTATGACACGAGTCACTTTCTGTCAGTGACGTAATGTTTGTCACTGTTTACTGTGACAATGGTAAGTACATACAATCTATATTGATATGTGTACGATTCCAATATCGTCCTTACACAGCACCTTCACGGCTGATCGCAGTGCACAAACAGAAGCTGAAGATTACACACAGCAGCTGAAAGTTGATGAGAAAAATGAAGATGTTGTTAAATGAATTCAACGTTTGGATTGAAGTTTATACCTTACTATTGTCATGTTTTATTTTCTGAATATTAGCTTGTTTGCATTGTGTCTTTAATATGTACTCTCTGATATCAACATTATCACAGTATTTTCAACAACAAATCGTGAAAATGATTAGAAAATATTATCCACACAAATACAAAGTATTATTTAGGTTGCCCACTTACATATACAGTCATTTACCAATAGAAACTAATTCTATGTTTCCTTCAAATTCAAATTAAATCAATTTTCATTTTAAAAAACTTATAGACCATTCGTCTTCCTTAACAAGCGGACGTTATTATTCTTATGTAAAAATAACGACTTTTGTGTACAGCTGGCGCCATTTTGTTTTGTAGTGTTACTCGTATGAAATGTACCAGGAGTTTGGCTAATGGTAATTACCTGGAAAACGAGAACACACACACCAACGGCAATGAAGATAGTCGTGTACTTCGAGAATAAATCGTCTAACTTCGTGAAGCATCCCTTGGGAAAGAAATAAATGAATAATTAGGACCAATCGGTGAGGCGAACGGCCTCTCACATATTTTCACTGGTTTTGATTTAAACATAGTTTTTGTTATGAGATGTACAGGTAGGATTGGGCACAAGTTTTTTTTAACTCATATTAAGCCATTTCTTATAAAGTTTGACAAATTACATATTAACAAGACAAAATGATATTTTTAAGTACAATTATTATGCGAAGAGAGAGAGAGAGAGAGAGGTAGAGAGAGAAGGAGGGGGGAGGGGAGAGAGAGAGAGAGAGAGAGAGAGAGATATTCTATCTCCTATATCTATTATATCTCCCTATATCTATTATATCCATATAACCTACATTCTACTCTATATACACTACATAATCAGCAGCTCCATTATAACATCCCGATTATCTACACAAGTTAATGATGTTTTACGAGATTGAGATTACACATGTTCTGGTGTCGTATTTCTCAATTTTATGTATCGTCAGTCTTGGAGAACAGATTGTAATACTGTAAATCACCTAGATTTCGCGAATACTTTATTTCGGGGACATACATCTTCGGGAAGAATGGGCTATCAGATATGTAGACTCCAACATTGGTACCTGAATCAGCACGAATATCATCAGGAATTATGTCTGTACAAATAATCGCGATAATTACTTCGTGTCTTAACGCGAAAATAAATCCCACGCGAAATATAAGTGATTTACAGTATACTAGTAAACACATCTGTTAATCAGACTTCTCCGACTATCACAAACTTATGAGATCTCGGAGTACTTGTTCGGTATACTGAATTTACAGTTTTGTTTTTATTACACTTGCCTCGTTCGCATTGAGTCCATTACAAGATGCTGATGTTGCTGAAGACGCCTGACAACACTCCGCTGGTAGGTTACCCCCGGCTGATGTGATGTCTGAGGAGCTAGAGATGCCGCAACACTCAAACTGTGAAAGTATTGTATAGTGTAAATAAAAATATCTAGACAAAATAAAGCCAAATACATTTCAATAAGATATATGTTAAGTTAATTAATGCTTCCGCCCGGTCTCAAACCAATGATATCTGGCTTACTAGTCTTACACAACGGACTGAGCTTAAGTGAAGTTCTCTCTTAACTAGCGGTATTATTAAATCATACAGCTATCTCGTCACACTAGGTCTCGTCAGTTATGTTACACCATACAGCTGTTTCGTCCTTCTAGGACTCGTCAGTGATGCCACATCATATAGCTGTGTCGTCCTTCTAGGACTTGTCAGTGATGTTACACCATACAGTTGTGTCGTCCTTCTAGGACATGTCAGTGATGGTAACATGATACAGCTATTTCGTCCTTTTAGGACTCGTCAGTGATATTACATGATACCGCTGGTTTGTCATTTCAGGGCTCGCCTGTGTTGCTACATCATACAGCTGTTTCGTCCCTCTAAGACTCGTCAGTGATGCTAAAGGCTCTAGGTCCTACTTACCGTTTTGAACAGATTGTTGAATCCTTCCTTAACTTTCTTTTGTTCATCGGTTGGATTGGTGGCGCTATAAGTCTCATTTAACAGACTTTTAGCCTCGTTTGAGAATGAATCAGTTATCTGTAAACATTAATAAGAAGCGTTTAGATATGATACCTAATGTCAAAACACAGCATTGTATCACTTTGAGAGTTACACAAGTACAGTCGGACCTCTTTATCTCGAACTCGCCGGGACCATGGCAAAACTTCGAGGAAACCGAGTGTTCGAGTGAGTTTGAATGCTTTGTGTATAGTAAGGCAAAGACTGACGAAAAGTTCGAATTAAATAGGATCTTCGAGTTACACGTGTTTAAGATAACGAGGTTCGACTGAATTTGGTATCTCGAAGTAAAAGACTGTATATAGAGTATACAAACGACTCCCAGACTTTCCAGACACATCAACACCAGATTACCTTTAGACAAGGGAGTCATCTCCAAATTACAGACCAGTCAAGCCCTAGACGACTCCAACCCGTAAGGGGAGCACCGCCTCACCTCGCCAGAGAATTGACACACGTCAATTGGACAATGCCTGGCGGCGGGCACAGTCACGGAGACGAGAAAATCATCATCATCATCATCATCATCATCATCATCAACGACTCCCAGACTAATTGTCCAATCAGGTTTTACAATTTGGGGACAAACACAATAAGTGTGTTGACTAGATACACACGTCATTACTTAAAAGGTTCGCAACATGGCAACGTTCTGTTTTGTGTATGTCGAAGCATTAATAGATACTCTTAAAATCAATAAAGTCATAGCTTGATCGATGAACTCAGACACGTGCATTCTTTTTACTACCCTATTGCGTGAACCCGCGAAAATTTAATCCATAGAAAAAAACTTATTTGAAAATGGATCACCTATTGTACATATAAACATACTTTCCTTAAGAGAAAAAAACACGTGCGACCGTTTCATGTGTGTGCATTGTATAAATTAAAAAAAAAATGCGACCCTTTCGTGTGTATGCAGTGTACAAAAAAATATTTAACACGAGCGACACTTTCATGTGTGTGCATTGTATAAATAAAAAAAAGTGTGACCCTTTCATGTGTGTGCAGTGTATAAAAAAATTAAAAAAAAAAAAAAAACACGTGCGACACTTTCATGTATGTGCATTGTATAAAGTAATAAAAAAAAACCACGTGCGATCGTTTCATGTGTGTGCATTGTATAAATTTAAAAAAAATGCGACCCTTTCATGTGTGTGCAGTGTATAAAATAAATTCTAAAAAAAAACCACGTGCGACACTTTCATGTATGTGCATCGTATAAAGTAATAAACAAAACACGTGCGACCGTTTCATGTGTGTGCATTGTATAAAGAAGTAAAAAAGCACGTGCGACCGTTTCTTGTGTATGCAGTGATAAATAAATAATAAAAGCACGTGCGATTGTTTCATGTGTGTGCATTGTATAAAGAAATAAAAAAGCACGTGCGACCGTTTCATGTGTGTGCATTGTATAAAGAAATAAAAAAAGCACGTGCTACCGTTTCTTGTGTATGCAGTGTATAAATAAATGATAAAAGCACGTGCTACCGTTTCATGTGTGTGCATTGTATAAAGAAATAAAAAAAGCACGTGCTACCGTTTCATGTGTGTGCATTGTATAAAGAAATAAAAAAAGCACGTGCTACCGTTTCATGTGTGTGCAGTGTATAAATAAATAATAAAAGCACATGCGACCGTTTCATGTGTGTGCATTGTATAAAGAAATAAAAAAAGCAGTAGGTCATGTAATAGGTACTGCACAGATGTTAATATTCGCGGTGAATGTAATTTCGCCATAATCGCGATCATAATACAATAAAATGTCTAGTCAAGATATAATTTTATCAGGAAATCTATGTTATATACCTGTATATATGTATACCAGTGTAAAAAACGTTTGCTGAATTTAATCCCTGTGAATGAAATTTGGACAACCGCGAAAAATAACAGGTATTACAAAACAGATTTTATATATCCACATAACAGGTATTACAACAACGGATTTTATATATCCACATAACAGGTATTACAACAACGGATTTTATATATCCACATAACAGGTATTACAACAACGGATTTTATATATCCACATAACAGGTATTACCAAAACAGATTTACGATAACCACATAACAGGTATTACAAAAACAGATTTTATATATCCACATAACAGGTATTACAACAACGGATTTTATATATCCACATAACAGGTATTACAACAACGGATTTTATATATCCACATAACAGGTATTACAACAACGGATTTTATATATAGTTTATTGTATATAGACATAAAACAAAGATTTTATATATCCAGTGATATATATAACAGGTATTACAACAACGGATTTTATATATCCACATAACAGGTATTACAACAACGGATTTTATATATCCACATAACAGGTATTACAACAACGGATTTTATATATCCACATAAGCAATCTGTACTATCAACAGTAGGATAACCACATAACAGGTATACTATTTTATATAACCACATAACAGGTATTGATATCCACATAACAGGTATTACAACAACGGATTTTATATATCCACATAACAGGTATTACCAAAACAGATTTACGATAACCACATAACAGGTATTACAACAACGGATTTTTTTATATATAACCACATAACAGGTATTACAACAACAGATTTTATATAACCACATAACAGGTATTACAAAAACAGATTTTATTTAACCACATAACAGGTATTACAAAAACCGAGTTTATATATCCACATAACAGGTATTTACAACAACAGATTTTATATATCCACATAACAGGTATTTACAACAACAGATTTTATATATCCACATAACAGGTATTACAAAAACAGATTTTATATATCCACATAATAGGTATTACAACAGATTTTATATATCCATATTGTTACTTTCTATAAATGATAATGATAAAGATTTGAAATCTCCATATTGTAGCTTTCTATAAATAGTAATGAGACAGATTTTAATGGTAATGAGACAGTTTTTACATATTTATTTCAGAATAAGACAATAAAGAGCAATCTCAAGTTAATTCCTGGGTAATCATCAATATTTCCCACAGTGCATTGCGGTACCCCAATAATGTGTCTATAAGGAACAACAACCCTGGAAGAGTTACAAATTTTGTAACTTACGATCACGAGCATCCATCTCCATTGGCAACAGGCTCCACAACATCCGAAGAAACCGATGGCGAAGATGATGAAACCGACGGCAATGAAGATGTTAGACATCTGGTTGAGCATTGTGTAAACATCCACTCCTCCGACCATATCCAGGTTGATTTCATCCAGTACATCTTTGATGTTGTCCTGCAGCAGGTCCTCACCGAATTTAAAATATAGTCCGATTACCGCAATAGCCAATCCGAGCAACTACAATAAAACAAGGGAGTGGAAAGTGAAATTAGGTCATAATGAAATATTGATTAACAGTTTCTGGCAGAAGAAATGGTGGTCCGATGCTACAGTGCTAACGCACTGGCCTTTCACAAAGACGTCCGGGGTTCGATTCCTGACAAAGACGTGAAAAGGTAGGAGGGGTCACCTGCCCGACCATTTGGGTTTTCCGTGGGTACTCCGGTTTTTCCACCTACAATAAGACCCCTCGCGCGATCCTATCCGAGCCAACAAAATTGATTATGTAATCTTAAAGCTTGTTTTGTAATTGCTGTAAAATAAATTAAGTTTATATTTATTTAAAGATACCGTGAAAGGTGAATTTAAAGAATTTCTTAAATATTTCATGTGACAACATAGAAATGTCGGATATTTTATCACTTGTAATAGTTCAAAGAGAAATGTTGTATCTAGTTACGACAAAAGTCTAACATCACACAAGTAACTTGTTATTGTAAATATACCAAGCCAATATTTTTGCAAAAAGTATATAGAAATTTGTGTAATATTTAATATAATTCAGTGTTTGACGTAAGGTACAAAGATTTTTGTGTAAAACGTACAGAAATGTGTGTAATATGTAATATAATTCAGTGTTTGACGTAAGGTACAAAGATTTTTGTGTAAAACGTACAGAAATGTGTGTAATATGTTATGTAATTCAGTGTGTGACGTTGGGTACAAATATCTTTGCGTAAAACGTACAGATTTTTGTGAAATGACGTAAGAAGGTGAGATGACGTCACACATTACAAAATTGCAAAGAAACAATGCCGACCATATACTTACATATGTGTGTGTAAATATACAGTGAATATATATGACCAATGAAGTAATAGCAACAGTACGGACAAGTGAATTGTCAAACCTGTTTCTTTATCAAGACACAAATATTACGTAAATTTCATCACAGAATGTCTCAAAAATGAAACAATTCACTTGTCCGTACTGTCGCTATTACTCTATTTACCATATATCTACCCCAGTAATACGCATCCAACGAACATTGTTTGTTAGGATCCAGAACCAATATTGGACTATACCGTCGATATTACTTACTAGATTATATATATAGAAGATCCAGTACCAATATTGGACCATACCGTCGATATTACTTACTAGATTCTATATATAGAAGATCCAGTACCAATATTGGACCATACCGTCGATATTACTTACTAGATTCTATATATAGAAGATCCAGTATCAATATTGGACCATACCGTCGATATTACTTACTAGATTCTATATATAGAAGATCCAGTACCAATATTGGACCATACCGTCGATATTACTTACTAGATTCTATATATAGAAGATCCAGTACCAATATTGGACCATACCGTCGATATTACTTACTAGATTCTATATATAGAAGATCCAGTACCAATATTGGATCATACCGCCGATATTACTTACTAGATTCTATATATAGAAGATCCAGTATCAATATTGGACCATACCGTCGATATTACTTACTAGATTCTATATATAGAAGATCCAGTATCAATATTGGATCATACCGTCGATATTACTTACTAGGTTATATATATAGAAGATCCAGTATCAATATTGGACCATACCGTCGATATTACTTACTAGATTCTATATATAGTATCAATATTGGATCATACCGTCGATATTACTTACTAGGTTATATATATAGAAGATCCAGTACCAATATTGGACCATACTATCGAAATTACTTACTAGATTCTATATATAGAAGATCCAGTATCAATATTGGACCATACTATCGATATTACTTACTAGATTCTATATATAGAAGATCCAGTACCAATATTGGACCATACTATCGATATTACTTACTAGATTCTATATATAGAAGATCCAGTATCAATATTGGACCATAATCGATATTCTTACTAGTATCAATATTGGACCATACTATCGAAATTACTTACTAGATTCTATATATAGAAGATCCAGTATCAATATTGGACCATACTATCGATATTACTTACTAGATTCTATATATATATATATATATATATTTAACTTCATGTGTGGCATGAAATCGTACATTCTCTACAAAACTTGCCGGAATAATCAATTATGATATTAAAGCGTGTCCGTTTCCATGGTTATGAAACTTGTCAAAGCTCGGCAAGGTTAAAAATTCTTACATTCGATTTATAAATCACATATCTAAAGAAAACCCATGAAAGCTGCTATACTTGTATCGATTTTTGCGATGTGAATTGGCGTAGTGACGTCGAGGTTTATTGCTAACATCTGAGGGCATGATCAAAGGGAGATGACTCTGCCCAGCTTGTGGACAGAGATTACTTTCCTCTGTCATAAGCGACTGCATTCCTTGATATATATATATATCAAGAAAAGTTTGTGATCGACACCATATTAAGCCTGATATGGAATTTTACGGTATTTTAAAATTCGTTTCATTCAAGAAATAATCAAGGATCGGTTTAAAAATAGATTTTCTTTCTCGAGATCTGGCAGTCCATAAACGGTGTGATAAAGATATTAATAACATTCAGCCAAAAAATCAAAAGTTTAAAAATATTTCTATCAGTTAACGAGCTCTTTAAAACGTCTACAGGCTTTATAACACGGTTATCTTTCTCATACTGGTATTTTAAACAATCATGTTTTGTTTCTGATAAATCAGTATTGACGATGACCCGGAGTTGTAGCGATAATTACCATGGCAACATACAGCTAATGTAAATATTTAACAACGATTACAACTCGGTTTAAGCATATGGGCGAGTATTGATTTTTCTGAATCATGTCACAATATCAGACAAAATATGGTAGTTGTATCTCATTATCGGCTCTAGTTGTGATAGCAACATCAGGATAATATTGCCTTTCGTCGTATGTCTTAATCTACCACAATAAGGTGTTGTGGGTGGGTTGGAGGGAGGGGGTTATTTGCGAATCTCCTAGAGGGATGAAATAGCTGTATGATGTAACATCACTGACGAGTCCTAGAAGGAAGGACGAGACAGCTGTATCATATAACATCACTGACGAGTCCTAAAAGGACGAAACACCTGTATCATGTTACCATCACTGACGAGTCCTAAAAGGACGAAACACGTGTATCATGTTACCATCACTGACGAGTCCTAGAAGGACGAAACAGATGTATCATGTTACCATCACTGACGAGTCCTAGAAGGACGAAACAGCCGTATCATGTACCATCACTGACGAGTCCTAAAAGGACGAAACACGTGTATCATGTTACCATCACTAACGAGTCCTAGAAGGACGAAACAGCCGTATCATGTACCATCACTGACGAGTCCTAGAAGGACGAAACAGCCGTATCATGTAGCATCACTGACGAGTCCTAAAAGGACGAAACAGCTGTATGATGTTACCATCACTGACGAGTCCTAGAAGGACGAAACAGCTGTATGATACAGTTGAATTCGTTGTTTGACTCCACTGTATGTAACTCTTAATTCGTATTAAGATATCAAAAGGTGGTTTTAATTTATGTGTCATTTGTAAAACCTCTAAAGTGTTTCTGGAAAGTGTCGTGACTGGAGCTCCCCAACTGCAATGCAGATAGTGTAGAAAAGATTTAGCTTTGTAATTTTGATTGTTTAAGATTAACGTGTGTGACGTGTATATGTAGAGCCAATCCATTTAAAATCTATCGTCCTTCTGTGTTACCTGGCTGTAAGCAGGAAGTTGATAAGTGTTGTACTTCGATATAGAAAGGTGAGGGGCTATCAGTAGTAACTGATATACCACATGCTAAAGGTGTGTCTGTCTACACGATCTGTAAACAAAGAAACGTTTACACGTCTGTTGTAGAAAGGCTTTGTGAGATCGTGATGTACCCGAAGTATACGCCCTAAAGGAATTAGGATTCTCTTTATCACTCTACATATGGTAGACATATTGTTTGTCACGTGTGTAGACAAAAATGTTCAATAGGTCAATGTGTTTGTTCATTAATCCGAGTTAACAACACAACAGATAGTAACTTTCCTGTATTAAATATGATGAATGTTGTGAGCCCCACGTGTATAGATATATAAACTACATATATTTAAAAATAAGTCAAGTTACCACCAACACTTATTTTGGAATGCGGATGATAAAAATGCGAGGGACCATTATTGATGACGTCAGTTCGGAGACATCTTTTGTAAATACGTCGTTTATTCATGAATAGTCTAAATCCACACAAATATTTTTCATGTCCACGAAATGATAAACGGACAAAGGCTGACATGAATCAGAGTACGAGGTAGTTTGTGAGGGAGGTTTGTCAACAAAATAAAGTGCTAAAGAAATTACTTTTGGAAAACCGCGAAATTCAAGCTACACGAAAATATCTAATTTCATAGTAAATAGAAAACATAGCTGAATGGGAAAGAATTCTGGATCGAGTCTATTATTAAACCTTGGATCACATTAGACATAGATAGATAAAGGTTTATCATACTGACAACCAGGAATACTGACATTTCGTGGTATGAATATTCACCGTGATTTATCTATACATTTCTTCGCAGTAAGTATATACTTCATGCCATTTTTTACTTCCAGTAATTTTCGTTGCATATTTATGTCATTATGTGCACATTTGACTCGAGAGCAAATTAGTCTGTTTCTGTTAAATCTACCAAATGTTGACAACGATCGTACATCATATACTTAAATATTATTAATTTACGCGGGGATTTTTTCTTTGATGGATAAAACTTTTATTGTGCTTTTAAAGATTGTCACCAAATAACAATTTTGCATGAAAAAAGGTTGTGGAATACCAAACTCTGAAAAAATAACGATTATAAAAAATATGAAGTCGGAGAGAACGTTTCTTTCCATATAGGAAGGATCATCTACTTCGTGGACGGTTACTGTATAATCATTAATTTTCGGGGTGATTTATTTTCATTGCTTTCCTGGGTATCTTGAATCCATGAATTAACATGCCCATGAAATGTTAACAGGTCAGCGTAGAT